ATTGCAAGACAACATTGAACGTGTTATCGCTGAAATACAGCCTGATTTATGTGAGAGAGTCATCGAAAATTGGGTCCAGAGAATCCATGCTATGAAACGAAGCCGTGGCGGTCATTTGAATGATGTTATATTCCATACTTAATGGTATCAAATATACTTTACATTGAATAAAAAAACTCATTGAAATTGTATATAGTTGTTGTTTTATTTCAATTTAAAGTTCGAGCGCCCTTAATGGAAAACCCTGTATTTCTGTCTTACTTATATTATCCCTGTCTACCATGGCCAGAAGAGAAAGCCGGAAAGGCACGGTAGTTCAGAAAGATCTTTGAAAACTCATTTGGCCAGAAAAGCTGAGGAAGGGTACCGTCAAATTTGTTAACTTTTAATCCGGAAAGTTGCCAGAATAAACACTAATTTCATAGTAAAGGAAATCTTTCTTTTTGATAAAACGATAAAATTTGTTCTTTTCTCCATTTCTTGCTTTATATCTCTCTCTATAGTGTGCATAGAAAGAAAAAAAACATCTAGTCAAGTATAGTACAGAAAAGAAAATATACATACATCGTCATTCTGTTATCGATAGTTCCAGATTCTTTTTCTCAGGTATATTGAATAATACTGTTCTCAGTTTTGTTTCCAATCAAATTACCGGTGAATAAATTCACCGATGCCACTTTTGACGGCTTCTCTTACACATCAGTAACTTTACTGACATGAGAAAAGTGCATTGTTTATATAATAAGAGAATAGGTGAAACGTAATGATCATGGTTCATTTGAGTCATACATCGTTTTTATACTTAATGTGTAATATCGCTTAAATTTATGATTGTATGCGCTTTGTAAAGTATTTGTGCAGTTATGCATCAGTAACCTATATTTTCCTACACGACTCTTAAAAATTCCTCTTCTCTCTAGATAAGAATTTTTCAAGATCCCGTCGCGACTCATAAGCGATCGCGTCGCGATAATAGGAGTTCATAGCGATCGGGTACGCGCCGCGACTAGGGCGCGAGAGTCGACCTGGGTAGCTATATTAGTGTTCGAGAACAAACGCTTAAATTTCTGAAACAGTTTCAGACGCCATTTCGTATACTTCTTACATTCACGTAGGTAGTTGGATACCGTCTCACGAGCAACGCAAATCCAAGCTGGACTCAGGATAAGTTTACGAGCTCAAAGATCACTGTTCAGCTGAGAAAATCCCATTCTCAACTATGCAAAATGAATATCAGTGTTTCGATCATTGTGTGATGGGATAAGAGGAGAGAAGAAGTTATCAGTCTTCGCCAGAAGGCTACGAAATATTTTATGCTTTACACAAGAGCGAAGTTCTAAATGAAGTCCATCCCACAACCTAATGGTGGCTCGTATGAATGTGTTCTCATAAACATCTTGCTTGCGTATCTCAACAGTAACGGGACGAGTAGTGTAACAGTGTAAATATTGATTAACAGGATTAGGAATGGCACTTTCGTCATATGGGCAAAGTGCCAAGTCACACGTGACACGAATTCCGTATCACAAAAGTTTCTGTCTCCCTTTTGGCAAAGAAAGTAGATTAATCGCTTTACTTTACCAGATACTGTAGGTAAAATGTTTTTTATAATTATTTTATTTATTAAACTATTTCGTTTTAGTGAAAGCGAACCTCGGGGCATCTGTCTGGCAGTACTTACTCGTCGGCATTATCTATTCTTCTTTTTTTCTCTGTTTGATCGTTTGCAGTATGACCACTTTCAAATGCCTCAATCTCTTCCTTAAGCAACTGCTCAGACAAACTAAAATGTAGTGGTCCTGTGGCTGATGAGTAGCCTGTTCTCATTTCAATTATTATAAATCGAATGCAATAATTATTAGTTAGAAAAAATGTTTTTCCAAAGAAAAAACAGGAAAAGAAAATTCTGCGGTGAAAGCATGACTAAGCAAAAAAAACGTCTCTAATAAGTTAAAGAAATAGTCAGATGAATGAGTTTCCGTTGTGGGTTGCACGTTACTAATAACTACATATATTTACACAAGAAGAAAAAGAAAAAAATGCGGTAAAAACATGATTAAGCAAAAAAAAGCCGTAGTGAAAGCTAGAGAAAAAGGCTGAGGATAGAAGCAGACAACGAATATGACTGTGTTAACTCATCAGTTTGCGAGAATTTTGCTATTGAGAACTAGAGTAAAAAATTTAACGTTGTTACTTTTCTTTAACAGATTCTCTTCCTTGTTGGACTATTCACATCAAAAAAATATGTCGTCGTCATCTTCAACAAATCAAACACAACAACAATTTCACGCTACAACATCCGCGAAAGAAGTTGTAGATGCCTTCAAACCTAATTTGGAGGGAAAAGTTATACTCGTTACAGGAGGCAGTTCTGGTCTGTATGCTGTGGTTAAAAAAACTTCTAAAACAACTTTCTTCTTCACTTTTTTAACAGGCATTGGCGTGGAAACTGCTCGTGCGCTAGCATTAACAAATGCACACGTTATCATTACAGCTCGTGACCTGAAAAAAGGCGAAGAAGTTGTTAACGATATTAAAAAAACGACGTCAAATCCAAACGTTGAATGCATGGAAATACACCAAGACTCATTGCAATCTGTACGAAAGTTTGCCGATCAATTTCTGAAGCGTAAATTGCCGCTAAACATTCTTATCTGTAATGCTGGTATTATGGCTTGTCCATATGAGAAGACAGAAGATGGTTATGAAAGTCAATTTGCAGTAGATCATCTATCACACTTTCTGTTAACAATTCTTTTACTACCAGCATTGCAAGCAGGTAAACCATCGCGTGTAGTCTTTGTTAGTTCGGTAGGCAATCGAGGAGGAGGAATTAATGTTGATGATATTAATTGGGAGAAAGAGTATGACAAATGGAAAGCATACGGTCAAAGCAAAACGGCAAACATTCTCTTTGCTAAACAGTTGAGTAAACTGTATGCAGACGAGGGTATAAAAGCCTACTCACTCCATCCAGGCGGAATAATGACTGGTCTACAAAAGCATTTACCAAAAGAAGAAACAGCAAAATGGTTTGATAAAGATGGAAAACCAATTGTTCTAATGAAAACTGTTGAACAAGGTGCTTCAACAACAGTCTACGCAGCATTAGCACCTGAGTTAGAGGGCAAAGCAGGTGAATATTTGGAAGATTGTGCTATAAGCAGAGGTGTGACAACTGAGAAGGGCTTTTGGGGCATGGCACCACACTCCGTCGATATGAAAATGGCAGCGTGGTTGTGGGATCTGAGCTCGAAGATGGTAGAGTTATAAACAAGTATTTTTTTTGACTTTTTCTAGTAGCTGTAATTTGTAGTTTGCTATTGGTTTTTCTTTAGAAATAATATTCGTTGAGTCGAAAGAGTGGAGGCTGTCTGCATTGCTCTGAACTGCGGCAGAGACTACCCGACGGTTTCTCACAAGAGCAAAGCAGTGATAAAAACGCGTGTTACTTTCATCATTTTATTCATAATAACTGAGGAAGATGTGTGTAAAAGAACAATAACAAAGAAAAATAGACCTGAAAAAATAATGTATGATGGTAAAACATACTATAAGAAACAGTGTCTACTCAATTGATCAACTATATACATGAAGGAAGAACAAAAGTATACTCTACGAACAAAGAAATGCATTTTTGAAATCGATGGTGCTTTTCATAACGGATGAAAGAACATCATTCCAGAAACGTACCTATAACTTTGGATAGAGCATCCAATTATGAAATGACTCGAAAGTTTCGAAAATAGCTGGATGAAACTAATATTCATCATTTGTCTTGCCTCAAGATGTTTCTGCTTCATAACCTCAAATTTTTTTCTAAAGTACCCCGATCCAAAAGTTATTGTGTATCAGATAACGGACCATGGAGAAGACAAATCTGCAATCGGTTTTGACTGAACAAACTTTTAAAATTTTTCGATCCGGTGATATGAACCCCTCGAGCGTAAAATATCTAGGACTTTTCTTACTTGACAAATATAACGCACCTGAAGCAAGAAGAGCGGCACGGTATTGTAGATATGTAATAGGTTTTAATATGTCGGATTCTGCACGATACATAACTAAAGGTGTTAACCGATACAATTTTTGCTAGCGGCGACGTAAAGAACACAAAAGAAATTTGCAAGCGGCGACGAACGTGGGATCCAATATCTTAGAAATTTCGACGTTCGGCAGTGGCACTCGGGTTTTGGAAAAAATTTGCTGCTTGGGCGGCGTGGCTAACACCTCTGTACATAACAGTTAAAGGTAAACAGTTAGTTTAAAACAGAAAAAATAAGTGTTTTGTATAACTGATCAGGTATAAGAGTCATAAAAGTGTATTTAAAGTTTGCATTAACCCTAAACAGAATTATATTTCGAATCTATAAAAGACAGACGAGTGACATCTTTGTACCGGCATCCGCATCGAACACTAGCGGTGAAAAGCAATTTTTCTCAGTTTTGTGTCTAAAAATCCGAGAAGCGCGCCTAATGTTCAAATTGCCATCTTCATACACGAACAATCGATGTAAATCAAAGGAAAGATGGGCTTTTGTTTGCAAAACTTTTCAACACGTGTACTACACGTGTGAAAAAGTTTATATAAAGTTTATAAAAATACACTTCACTAATATATTATATAATAATTGATAATTATTGGGATTATAGGGATAATATATTGATCAAGTGTATTTTTATTGGGTGAAATCAAAAACAGACCGGAAAGTTCCCCTATCTTCAACTAAGGCCTTTTGACTAACCACCTATCGAAAACGGACTTGAAATGAAGACAGTGCTCCACTTAGAGTATGAAGAGGACTATCCTGAACAACTTTGCCATCGAAAAATGCTCTCAACATGATGGTTGGCTAACCCATGTTTCCATCCATTTTCGAGATGACTACACCCAAGAAAATATCGAGACCTTGGTTTTCAGAAATTCAGCTATGTTATCCAGTTTCTTTTAAGTCCCGGGATTGGTACGCGGTGATTTCCGGTGACATTAAAATCGCAAAGTTCATAAGTAGATGGACGACTTTCTCTGTTCAAGAAAATCGGTCATACAGTTCGATTGTTTAATTTTTTACATAGTAGACTTTGGTTTTAATTTGACAAAATAGGCGTATTTTGTGCAGTTTTTCTCGCTCTTTTGACTCATGTGTAGTGCAGAATTTTAAAGCGGAGAAAGTGGAAACGAAATGCAAAACAGGGCTTTTTTTTTTTTTCTTGATATTTTTTTGTAATGCTTTGCATAAAAAATTCATATTTTCATGAGGAAACCTCTTCACAGTTAATAAAGCTAAGAGCCTTTACAGCTGTGTGTGGAGAATCGAATGAGCACCATTTGAAAAACCTATTCTCTGATGAAAATATGAACTTTTTAAAAATATATGAAGAAAAAAGAACTGTTTTATATTTTGTTTCCATTTTCTCCGCTCTTTGTTTTAAAATTCTGCACTACACATAATTCAAAAGAGCGTGAAGGACTTTTCAATAAATGCGAACTTTTTCGTTTACTTTTGGTATATAAAATTTAACGCATATCAACGCATTAGAACTTTCTTTTTAAGGGGGGTGTAACCACCCTCAGCCGTGGCCTCAGATTATGCCAGTTTTTAGAGTACATTGAGTACTATGTATCTTCAAGAAATTTCGGCGGTCCTATGAGTATTGGTGAAATTATGAATTTTTTAACATTGGTCTTTGTTCAAAATTTTTTCGGTCTAAGGGCTGATATTTGATATCTCAAAAGTCATTCAGGAATGATGACAAAAATTTGGTTCAAGTATATTTAGATGCGCAATGCATTCAAAGTGATTATGTATGTAAAAAAGGAAAAAAAACTTTCTAACTAATAGACTTTTACAAAGTTTTTTTCTAACACTGATGCTAGTTCAATCCCAAGCAAAAAAATGCCTTTGAGATTATCTGGCTATAAAAATATGTTATCGGGCAATATCGGCTTGTGATAGCTAGCTATCCGTACCACTTTTATTGAGTTAGCTAGCTATAT